TTTTGCAGGGATAGGTCTATAATTTTGCCACTTTACACATCAATGGTTCGGCCCCACCTGGAGTATGCGGTGCAGTTTTGGGCACCGGTCCACAGAAAGGATGTCCTTGAACTGGAGAAAGTCCAGTGGAGGGCGACCAAACTCATAAAGGGTATGGAGGACCAGAGCTATGAGACACGGCTATTAAATTTAAACATGTTTACGTTGGAAGTAAGGAGATTAGGGGGGGACATGATTTTCATGTACAAAATGTTCCATAGTCATAGCAACATTAGCAACAAACTCTTTGAGATTAATTCCGTAACAAAGGACTAGAAGACACCACCTAAAACTGGTAGAAAAAAAATTCGAACACAAGGGGCGAAGGGGGTTCTTCTCAGTTCGCGCGGTTAGGGTCTGGAACTCACTGCCTCAAGCGGTAATTTCCGCAATTAATCTGGAATCATTCAAGAGGCTTTTGGACGACTTCCTGAGAGACCGAAATGTACAAGGGTACAGGTACTCTTAAGAATGAGAACACTCATGGACTTATGTCTTTATTCAACCTCAAATACTATGTTACTATATAAATATGTATTACATAGTAAACATATCAGTCATATCCTGAAAGCTATCTTCCCTCTGTTACATCCCAAATGATGTATTAGTGATCTGAGGTTGTTGGTGGGCATTTATATTCCCACCCTCTGTGACATGGCCCCATACTTTGCTTCTGACGTTTGTGGTGCTTTAATTAGAAAAAATGTTACAGAACGTTACATAAAATTATGGTGATCTTTTAGCTGTATGTTTGTCGTGAATTAAATTATTGTAATTTTTGTTTGCCCTTTTGGTAGCTTTAATGAGGCTTCATATACCGTTTATACACAGTTGTACAAAGAAAGGCTGATTTACCAAAAGAGTTGAGAATCTTCCAAAAATAAATTGAGTGAATATTCACTTCAATTATCAACTCATGTGAAAAGCAAATTCCTGTTTACCTATATCATCTGCACATGACTGGTATTTAAAGGGAAAAAGAATCAGCTTTTCAGAAGACTTGAATAATTGAAATGAATATTTACTCAAAGCCCTCATCCCTTATTATCCGATTAGGAAAAAAAAAAAAGAATCAAATAGCCCATACCACTTAAGGTGCCCACACACCTTGCGATAATCGCACGATAATCGCGGGAAATCCTGCGATCGTACGATTATCGTAAGGTGTGTGGAAGCCGTGCAACCGCTACTACTGTAAGGTCGCACGACTTTTATCTTAAGAACATTTTCGAAAACCCGCCGAGCATCGTACGATGTTCGGCGGGTGTGTAGCATGTTCGTTCGCAAGAGCACACTGCCCGTTCGGCATTGCGATCATCTGAAGCCCGCCCCTCAGGGGGGCGCGGCTTGCGATCATCGCAAGTACGATCTGACTGTCCAAGATAGGCAGATCGTACGTTTTTTTAATTACCTTACAACCATCGCAAGACAAAAGTCTTGCGATGGTTGTAAGGTGTGTGCCCAGCCTTACTATCAAGTATCACAAGATTTAGGCTTCTCATCTGCATAAAATGTGATGGCCTAAAAAGGCGTTTTTATAATAAAAAGGAGGGAAATCTACATATATTTACTAACCAACTCATTATAAAAAAAAAAACCACACCTACAGCTAATCAAACTACAAAGTATTCATCTAAACAAGACACAATATAAGTGACAGGCATATGTTCTCCTAACCTGATGCACTTCATTTTTTCCTGTAAATAATAATAGAAAAAAATAAATATATCCTTCTAAAAAAGAAAAAATGCAAATTATCGTGAACAAGTCCCGAGTAATTGGTGTCATACCCCTGGTAGGTTAATACAAAAAATGCTTTTAAAAAGGCACCAGGTGACAGATCCAAGAGATTGCAACATCCTTCATAACAAAAATTTTTTATTACATACAAAAACCATATAAATAAAAGTGATAAATGGGCATGCTTTCATCATCATAGTTCAAAAATACCTCCAAAAAACTACTCCAGATTTACATGATTGAGGCACAATGAATCATAGAACACATGATTGATAGGGAATGTTCTTCGAATCAAAGGAATAAAACTGCCTCTTCTGAAGGTAGTAGATGGTATTCTCAACGCATTTCGCACTCCAATCGCTTCCTCAGGAGATGGAAGAAATCTGAACAACCACAAATTTAATGAATATACCCAAAAGGGATACTATCCACCCAAAAATGTAATGTTAATGTTTAATATATTGGCAATGATATCACCTATCGAACAAGAAAGCAACTCGTGTGTATCCAGCCGGACCAACAAAGACAGGACCCAGAGCCCAAGGAGCGTCAGTAGGGGACCAAACCCCCAGGATGGTAGGAGTGGGAGCGATAACAGGAAAAAATCCGTGTATAACAGAAAATGTATTTTCCTAGACCAAAAAATAAGGGGAAGATATAACTATGACTATAAGAACATTTCCCAAGACCCTAACATTGGCCTAAATCTAATGTCCAACTAATGAATTTCAAAAGGCCAGTATAATAGGAGATATAAATAGTAGTGATCAGCTCCTAGAAGCCAATCCATTTGCCCAATTTTGAGAAACCATATGAAACTAAATTTTTATATCTTTTTTCAATCATATTTCTGGCTGTGTGGAAAAAGTTTTCTGCTCTCTTTACAATCTTTTGTGATTCTTACTCAGCGGAAAACAATGATGGAGT